ACAATGTCTGGAAGGTGTAACTGGGCAGTTTCAAATCAGAAATAAGCCATACCTTTTACCCAGGAAAGTAATTAGCCAAGACATTAATGATAGAGACTACTGTAAAATTTGCTGATTCTTTCTACCTTGATGTATTGAAGCCAAGACTTGAATGCCTTTTTGGCAAGGATTCTTTATCCAAACATAAACACTGCTGGGCTTGGTAAAGGGTACTGAATAAAGTGCAATTGCTTGTGATGTATGGGCCATCAAGCCAGATGAGCTAATGGTCCCTTGTGGCACTCTGCTTTATAAATCTATTAACTAGAATTTGGGATTTATAGAGTAGTGGGCCAGAGGAACAACTGTGATTGAGGTTGTACAACCAGTTCCCGTGGACTCTATCATGTTCCTTTTGAAATTGTTGGCAAAAATCCCACGGTATGAGCAATACTTGCCACCAATCACAAAGGGAAAAGGCTTTTATAAATGCAAGTGAGAAGGCTGAAGGGGTGAAACAGCATTTGTTGGTTGTTACATCTAAAAATACTTAGGAATTTATTTCTTTGTTAGCATATAGAGAATTCAGTCTCAATGGAAGTTGCCTGGACAGAAACAGAGACCTCCACACCAACCTGCTGTGAAATAACAAGAAATATACTAATCACTGCATAAGCCTGAGCTTTGACAAGTTTAAACATACTTTACATTTTCTGTTCCATTTCTAACAAAATCAAATAACATGAAGTTTAATATGTCTCATGTCACCTTACAGAACATTTTATTTGGAAAGCTTAACTTAATCAAAGGGAAACCACTCTCAGGAAGCAGAACTCCATCGCTGACCCATCAATTACCCTCACTGTAAAATATATATTTTTAAAGTGCCCTAACATCTCCTTTAATGCCAACTCTCAGAGAGAATTTGCCTGTAAACTTTGATTTTCCTTTAGTGCTTAAAATGCAGCAGACATAAAGAAACAGCCCACAGGCTTGTTCATCTGCAAAAACCTTGAACAAAATTGCACTTTATTATAGAGAGAAGCATTAGTAAACAGAGCAAAAACCAGGTCCTAGATGGTTAGAACTCTCATGTGAGTATCATCATACATCATGGAATATCACTGTTTAATAGGCTTCAAAATGCTGACTGTGTGTTCTCCTTGCTGACCCACCTCTGCCAGTGCCATGAGCACTGGCAGCTCTACCACCAATCCCACATTATGTTCCCAAAGTCTTGTTTGTGCCCTGGGTGCTTCAAAAATTGGCCTCTTCTAGATGGCCAAGAAAAGCAGGTGACAGATCTCAGCAGGGTGGACAAGAGGTCCCATATGGAAATAGAAGAAATAAAAATGGCTGGGAAACATAGGAAAAGAAACCAATATGTAGAGGTGGGAGAGCATCTAGGGATGAATGCAAAGCACCCTCAGCTTGGTGCAAAAATGAGTGTTAATACTGATGGATACTTCTCATAGCAGTAGTTGAATGGAGCAGTTCCTTTGGGGGCTCCCCCATGTTGTAACCCATCAACACACAGTTCTGTGGGCACAGAGCTATCCAGACCTGGCTTCCTTCAGAGGTGTACAGCAATCAACAGCTCCAGCTGTCATCCCACATTTTTACCACTTTTTCCTCTCCAGCAATGTTTTGTCTCTGCTGCATTCCCAAACTGCTGGCAGAGAAAGAAGCTGTAGTTACAAATGTGCTGACTAGCCATTGCAATTGGACTGCAGTAGCACAGCAATATGGGTATATATAGAGTTCCTACTTTCCTGGAAAGGAGAGATGGTGGGGCAGAGGGGAATTATTGTCAACCTTTTTTCTTTACCCAGCCACCAGATTTCAGTGTTTGTAGACATCTTGCCCATCATAGACATCTTGCCCCACTCCTGGCAATATTCAAACCAGGTTGGATGTGGCTCTGAGCAAACTGGTCTAGTGAAAGGTGGCCCTGCCCATGGCAGAAAGGTTGGGACAAGATGAGCTTTCAAGTTTCTTCCAACACAAAACATTCTGTGATTCTATGATCTTCAACACATCAACACTTAGAGCAGCTCTGGAAAAAACTAACCAACAGGAGGGAAATGTGGGTGTGGGAGAGAGGGGAGGAAATGACTGACAAATAGAGGCAGATGACAAATTAGTGCCCTTCAATCCAACAAGACAACCCATTCTTCCTGCAAGTAACCCTGTGTGCCACAGCCTTTTCCACAAAATTCCTGGCTCTCATTCTCCAAAGAAAGGAAAGATTTATCCCAAGCTCTGCATTTTAATTCACCCATAACTACCTAGGCCTGTAATAATATGTACCACCATCATTAGCAGCAGTCCTTTAGCTTTGCCTTGAGCTTTCAAGGCCTCAGGACAGAGCTTTTTCTCTTTTGCCATCTGAACTTTTCTTGGCTTGCCTGCAGCTTTACTTTAATTTGGTTCAGCTGACACAGCGATTTAATTGGCCAGGTTGCCCATGGCTGATTTGTTTTACTTAGGTTTATCTTCATGTGGTATAGCTATAGTTTTAGGGAGAGAGAGCTAACAAGCAAACAGTCCATCTGGAATGAGATATTAATGGCTGTAATGCAGGGATGTGGTATAGAGTTATATAAGCCTGGAACAACATCAGAGACTTTCAGAGAGGGAGACACAGGACATTGCATCCAGGATTACAGTCAGGGGGTGATAAGAAATGGGGCACAGCCGAGCACTGGAGACTCCATCACCATAAATAAGTCATTCATAGTCAATTAAAGGAAATACTGGACAAGCATGGGTTTATAAAAAACAAAGGAACAATATCTATCGTACAAAAAGAACATCAAATATAGACTACTTGGATGCAACCTGGAGCTGCAGGCTAATGAAGAATGAACAAAGACATAAAAGTGTCTTATAAAACACAAAACCACCAGAAGTGGACCCTAAGGGGAGTAAGAAGAAACCATCAACATAAACATCAGATTCCTCCCAACCAACCATTCCAGATGCTAATGATTTGTCATAAAACCCAGCACTCCTCAGCACCACAACCAGACTGAAACCACAAACCCTAGGGCCCATGGAAGAGCAAGCACAACACTAGGAAAAGGGGTAGAAACTAAAAAGTGTGAGCATAACTATTGGAACTGATTATTTTTTACAAAACAGTTACATCCAGCCTAATAATGATAGAACTTTTATGATTTCAGTTATACCAGCAATGCCTCTAATTCCATTCATCACGTGCTTGCTTCTAGCCATTGCACAAGATTTTATGCATAATAACCCAAACATTAAATACTGCTCTCCAGTCCATTCCTTTGGGAGAAAACAGATACCAGGAATCTGCATCATCTATTGCAGAGACCAACTGAGGCTAAAGGATTGATCCTACCTAACTGGTGGACAGGGTCATCTGAGGTATCCTTACCATTATAAGGAGAAGATTTAAGACTGGCTAGATTAGTCACACTAATTATTTCAACATTAGTACTCAGTTACAAATGGCTTTTGCCTTTTATGATTATGATTTATCCCTTCACACACAGAATCCTGGCCAGAAAGGACTAATGGAGCATTTCCGTACAAAGAAAAGCAAGGTATCCATCTCATTTTCCCATCCCTGACAGAGGCTGTTTTTCCAAGCTCCCACAAGGATTCAGGCCAGTTCATCAGCCCCAAGGATGACAGCAACAGGGAGAGAAGTCTCACTTCATTGCCTCTCCTCTGAAGTTATCATAAGGATTTCTATACATTCAGCATGGGACTAGAAACTAATAAAGGCAGAAACCATATTTATGATTAGGGGTATTGACTGTGCTTGTCTAATTACCTTGCTACAAATTCAAATAGTCCAATATAGGGTCTCAGTGGAAATTATTGTGCAAGTTACAATACAGATAATTCATTTCTGTAAGTTGCCATTATGTCTACTTTCATTTGGGTGGCAGAGAGGAAGGTTAAAAACATACATTTTTAAAAAATAGTCTATTCTTCCTCTAAAGAAGCAGCCCTAAAGCCTAGCTCTTATACAGATATCACAGTGCTGTAAAAATTAACAGAAATAATGGTGTTCCTATTTAACCAAAGCTTTTTACATTTCTAAATTCTGTCCCTCCTTCACTGCCACAAATAAAGCAGTTGCTATGGCACAGTGTGAAACCAAACAGCTCTTTCTCTAGGCCAAGGAGAACAGCCTACCTCCCCAAGAGTAGCAGCTTGTCTTTCAAAGCTGAGTGAAAATAAAGGGAGTTTCACTTCTAAGCTTTGAATTCCCCTGTGAAAACCTGAATAGAAATACATGGAATGCATATAATCTACCACTGGCTGGCAAAGATGCAAAAGGATTTTTCTAGGCCTGTAGGTTATTAAGACAACCCACTCACAAAAACTTCTATCAGTAAATGAGTCACTAAATCTCAACCAGGAGATGAATAACCATTTTAGGGAAGTAACTGTGACCTCAAGAGGCTCTTACTTACTTTGCAGCACAGATGAACTGGGAATTGGAAGAAACAGTACTACCACCTTCAGCAGAAAAACCTCCAAGCAGTGCACAAACACGACTGGATGAAGTCCCACAGTGCAAACATTAGATGCAATTTGCCTCCTATGGCACACTGGAAAAATCACACACAACAGCCACATGTCCTGCTGAAGGCTCAAAACAAGTCAGCAAGGACCCTGAGAACTGACCTAGGAATTACAGGCTCCTGCTCCAGCCACTAAAAAATCAGCAACAAAGGAGGATGAAAGTTTCAGAGTTACCCTGTGGACACAAATATAGCAGCAGGTCACTTTTCCTGCTAGTATGAGCAGGTAGGCACAGGTATAATCACTACATATAGACCCCCCCTAGATTTCAGTCAGGACTTTTCACCTGGAAAAGCTTCAATATGTGCAAATAAGCTCAAAGTATCTATCCATCTACAGTGCGAGCCACTTCCTCAGGCTTGTGACTAAAGGTGCTCTTCTTTCAGGAGGAATACTTCCAGTGTCTGTCAGACAAGCATTAATGCACAAAAATGATACCCCTTTTTTTTTTTTAAGAAACTTTAATAATAAATGTTCAACTTTTAAAAATTACATTTTCAGTCAAACATCGTTATTTTTTTTTTACAAACTCTTGGAGATCAGGGTTTTAACAACATATAGTGTTTCTTCACTTAAGATGGAACAGCCTATAGACAAAATAGTGACCTGCAGTGCTGTGTATTCAAGATTGCAAGTTCATAAAACTACAAACAGAATTATTTCTTCAATAAAGTGGAAAATCATAAATGGCATGGAACATTAGACTCCTGTATGCCACCACACCAGTCCCTTAAAAGTGAGGAATGTGGCTTCAATGTCTTCACAGCAATTCATGGGCTACAGTGTCTCAAATTTTCACTCCAAAAGAAATATGCAGCCTAAAAGAATTTAGGTCTGGGAAAGCTGATACACATGCTGAGTGATTCCCTAAAAAATATGGCCTACTAAGAGAGTAGTGATGACTTAGGGAAGTTAGAACTGACTTCTCTAAGGACGTCCATTTGGTACTCTGTCACACGTCAGCTGCATCATCTCAATATCTGCTTCTACACAGGTCCATCATTCAAATGAATAATGTTCAAGAAGACTTTCTCCCACTTCATGACGGGTTTTTCCTGCTGGTGATGCATTTAAATTGTTTCAGGACCTTATCCAATAGCACACAAGTTTTTCCTCAAGTGGAAGACATTCAGGGACACAAATATACAAGCTGGTCTTCATGTCCACATTCTTTATAGCAGAAGTATTGAGTTCTCCTGGATGTCAAAATGTGCCAGGGTGCAAGTGATGCAGCTGTAGTGGTCAGTAATGGTCCTAGGGTGCAGGCTGATAGCTGAAGTTCAACTCTGAAAAATACCAGATTAGAAGAACCTGTCAAAGAATGAATATGGTAAGGGTCATTCAAAATTAAGCATACAATTTTATTATCTTATGTAAATAAAGCCATTCATTAGGAATTTAACATACTAAAAATACTAAATAGGGACCTTGTCAAACCCATGCACACTCTGTACTTATTCCTGGCCACTAAATTTCAGAAGGTACTGAGATGATCTTGCCTGGTGCTATTGTGACCCTCTATTATCCTATTAGCTGCAATAAGATTTAAGAGAGGATTTAATTGTTCTTTTTTTAAACAGTTGTCTTGACTTAGGCAGCCAAAGAATATTAAATGTTTCCTAATTATTCTTCCTTTTTTGATTTTCTTTAATATGGGTTGGAAACACTGCAGCCAAATTCTTACATCCCACCTTCCCAACAAACCACAACTACATGATTTGGGAAGGCTGTGTCTGGAAAAAAAACCCCTAAAATTATGTGATATTTTGTCACAGCCCAATTTGGAATAAAACCATGGCAGTGCAAATGAGAAAGACAAGTGGGAACATAATTCTTCCTGAAAACTGAAGGAGTAAAAGTCTGAGTTTGCTTCAAAGATGACTTTGCAGATTACTGAATCAGTAATCCCTCCTTACTGGCCACATCCAAAACCACCCAAGTAAAATAGGAAACTTGATCAAGCGAATCAATTTCATATTAAAAGAGATGAATAATGTTCATTTTCATTAAATGAAAACTTTTGCCATTTTAAACCAGCTCTTATGAGAAGCAGATCCTTCTCCCTCCTTTTTAGACCTCCAGCAATCATTTGGAAAGCCATATAAAATTTTCTGCATATTGTCCCCTAACCAGTAGACTTTGAAATCAGTGGCATCAGCACAAAAGAGAGAACACCCTTACTTTTTGTTATTGATTGTGAAAGTTCTTCCCATTTAGAATATTCATTTCTCATCCCCACTTAAAGTGCAAGGTTACAGTTACTGCCAAGCCCATGGCCACGTGAAAGCCCATTTGGCAACCTCAGGAATGGGACTGAGCCCTGGGAAGCTCCTGCACGGCTCTGAGAGAAAAGGATGGAAGCCATTACTTTCTCCCATTCTACTTGCACCTCCTTTAATGGAGAAGGATTACAATCTCATCTTTTCTCTGCCTCCTAAATGAGGTCTGGTTTAACAAGTCAGCCAGTTGAGGTACCCGCATGGCACTCGTGCCATGGGAAAAGGGTATTTCTGCCCTAAGAAAGGCAAATAAATGGATTGAGGAGGGAACACATATTGTCTCTCTCAGGTTGTAAGAATTTAAGCACCTGGCTCTGAGACTGAGTGTATTTGACCCAAGATGAATCAAAGTTCTATGCAATGTATTTTCACACACCTGTAGCCATCCCATCCTGCACACTCAACACCTACTCTGCAAACCTGACAAATCCTAGAAAGGTGGAGGAGATTGGGTGACACCAACATGGCTCCTTTTTGGAAAAACCATCAAACCAACCTGTTGGAAAGTACCCCTTTATTCTAGGACTACAGCCATCTTACTCCAGAACAACTCTTCTAAGCAGAGCTCCCCACAAAACCATGAGAAGAACCACAGATGTCTGTTGCTTCTGTGGGATATGTGGAGAAATCTTGGCCAAATTAACAAAAAGAGTTTTACCATAACATTATTAACACTCTGTTACTGCCCAATTGATCAGCATTGAGCACCCTCAGAAATGCCATTGATGTAATCAATGTCAATGACCAAAAAACCCAAGACAGCACCACAAATAAAATCTCTAAGCTGCCAAATTCACACCACAGTACCTTCCAGAGGAAAGTATACCAAATGCAAGTTAAAAGGAAGCTTTTCACCCCTATGAGTTTAGGATTCTACTAAGAATGCCAAGAATTGAATTAAAGGTATAAAAGGTAATCAAACAGGTGAGACAAAGCAAGATTTTTTTCTTATTCAAATTACACTGAATAACAAGCATTATTGAGCCACAACTCAGGATCGAGCACTAGCAACAGAAAAGAAGGGTTTTTTACAAGCGACCTTTTTTGCATCTCTTTCACACAGTAGCAGGGTCCTAAAACACTTCATCTCATTTGCTCCCATCTCTGTGCTTCTCATTATCCAGCTGTTCTCAACCTGTGGTACAAATGTACTTTCTCAGTACTCTAAGAATCCAGGACAAATTCTAGACTAATCTTGTTTTGCCACAAAATATATCAGACAGTAAGTGGGTTAAGTTTCCATATTCTGCCTTACTGATATCTCTCAGCACTGATTAACAGGAAAAGATTTGAAACAGCAGATCACTTTATAAGACAATTTCATCTTGGGTTTCTCTGCCTGCATTTGCCCACTTATTGCCAGTTTGGATTGAGTAGTGTGGACATAAAAGCACTAAAAATTACAAATCAGTCACTAGAAAACCACCATAAGGAAGTGTCTTTGATCAGTGGTCATGAGATCATGACTTTTCTAAAGGTGCCCATGACAGTTTTGCCAATCATCCCTGAAGAAGTATATCCCACCTTCTCTCTCCTTTTCAGTGAAATAGGAAGATGTAAATTCAGCTTGTAAACCCTATCACTGCTCCACTGAGTGTTCAAGATCTGTAGCAAGATGCCACATCAGTAAACAAATAATAAGAGACAAAATGAAAGAATATGGTTTCCTGGAGCAGATTTTTATAATTCTATAAAGATTAATATTTCACAGATTTCACCTAAGTGGGATGTACCACTGCCTCTTGGTGAGTTGCATCTGAATTCACTAATTTTCTCATTTTGCATGGAGAGGGGGAAAAAGAAGACCCAGAGTTAACAGCTTTTTTCTGAATGAATGTAGAATAAAGCCACCTAGGAGGTGGATTTTAAAACAAAGACCTAAGGGAAAAGTATAGTGTGCAATTTCTATCAGGAAACATCAAAAGAAAGAAAAAGCAAGAGACACTATAGGAAAGAAATAACCCCAAGGCTTTATGTGTGCATGGTCTGGATGATGAGAAACATTGAAAGAGCGATCACAAAAGAGCCAGTCACAAAATAATCTCATAGCTGTTTGTACTGAACTGTTAATGCAACCTGCTTAGAACAGACAAAAAAAGGGACACTGCAGGGCACAAACTAATAAGGGACCAAGGCAAAAAATGTATTTCCAATCTGCTTTCACAAGGGGAGAAGGAAAAGATGAAAAGTTGCAAGAGTGAGAGATGAATGTAAAAAATATAGGACTTGAAATTTCAAAGACTTGTGAAGAGACTGCAGATAAAAATACAATACAATGGCAACACCCTCTGACCCATGCATGTACTGATAATCACTGCTCTAGAAGTACAGGTTAACAATTTAGTTTAATCAGGGACCAAAGAATAATGCAGAGCTCTAGGGAATGAAAAAAATTACATTTTTTTATAATATTAGATATATTCTCCTTGTATTAGTCTGTATTATTCACTAAAGTAAAATATATTTTATTAATCACTTCCAAATTGGTAATTGTAATAGATAGGAGCTAACAGACATATTTGACATCAATTACTCTTCATAAGTCATAAATAATGAAAGAAAAACAGGGATTCTTCCTGGGGAAAGCTACTAATGCATTGTCTAAAACAAAGTGAGAGCAGTGAAAGTGGGTTTGTAAGAAGGTTACACATAACCACTTTGAGTTTCTGTTTCCTGCTAGAACTAAGAAAATATTTAAGCTGTACTCACTGAATATAATTACAGATGCTTTCAAAGATCTTTAAATATTTAACTACCTAATCTTCACAATATCTCTATTAAATAGACATTTCTTTGTACTCCCAATTTACACAAGAGAAACATCTTTTATAGCTTATTTTTTAAAGTGGTTTTGTTTCTTTTATGAAATGCTGGAAACTGAAAAAACCCCCACTGGATAGAGGCCTCTGCAGGTGCAGCTTTGTAGATGCAGACACAAACGAGAAGTTTTCTGCTCTTTGATTACTGCTGCCAGTCAAGCCAATATTCACTACAGGCTTCAAAATGCAGAGGCAATTAAGTAAAAGGACAAAGCCATATCTGCAAATTTCAGCAGAGGCTCCTTCAAAGTTCAGCACGGAGAAGAAGGGCCCTGCACACAACTGCACACCTGGCTGTGCCAAGAGCAGACTTTGCAAGCTCTTGGCACTTCAGCTCCAGCTGAATCTATTGAAGGATTCTGCTTTTCTGAGCCAAATTTCCAAGGCAGAGGGAATGAAAGGAAGGCAACAGGCTTATTTTAAACTTGACATTTCAGCAGAGCAAATCTATAGAATAATTGGAAAGACTTGAAACAAGCATATAATATTTATCCATACATTTTGTCCAAAGAATTGCTGGTTGGTCTAGCAGTAAACTGAGAAACAAAAAGAATACAGAAACAGTACAGTCAGATGAATGAACTTGGATGTTCCTAGGGTATATTATTTTTTCACAGAAGAGCTGAAAGATATCACCTGTACCTTAATTAAATTTTTAGAAGTTCCCAAATGAAGAGCAGCTACCAGACAGTGAGAGAGAACAAAATGAGAAAATGAGGTTTCTGCTTAATTGTATTGTGTATTCTACATGGGCATCTGATAAAAGAAGCTGAATCTTAAACAAGGTAACACATAATCATGTTTGTTTTATTAAAAAAAAAAGAAATAAACAACCTAGATCCAGAAAAAATTAAACCTAACATTATTTGGTTCATTTTAAGCCACTCCCTAGGACTAGGACAGGACTATTGGGTGACACAGAAACACAGAGCACACACATCACTCATGCACAAGAGTCCCCCATACTACTGAAATAATAACTCTAAGAGTGCAGTGTGGTGCAGCCCTTGTGGCAATGGAAATGGTTGTATTGATTTTACTGAGCTGTGGACAGGACAAGCTCAGCATGACTTTGAAACTTAGGATAAAAATCAGTCAACTGGAAAAAAGCAAAAGCCAGGTAATAACAGTACTCACAGAATAAAGTAATACATGGTGATTAAGAGTAAGGAAATGAGACTTTACAGG